GCCTGCCTCTGCCTCCCGAGTGCTGGGATTACAGGTGTGCGCCCCTGCCCTCCACATGTTTTTTGTTTTTTTGATACAAGGTTTCTCTAACAACCTTAGCTGTCCTGGAGCTCACTCTGTAGCCCAGGCTGGCCTAGAACTCACAGAGATCTGCCTGCCTCTGCCTCCCGAGCACTGGGATTAAAGGCGTGCACCACCATACCCCACTGATTATGCTGTATTATGTATTATGTATTATGCTGTATGATTATGATGTATTTTTTTATACCTTTAATTTATTTGTTTTGTTGAAACTAGATTTCAGGTTGCCTTAGAATTCATGATCCTTCTGCTCTGCTTCTGTACTGCTGGGATTAATGTCTAGAAAAAAAGAATTTAAGGTTTTGTTGTTGTTAATGTTGTGAGTGTTTTGCCAGCATGTGTATGTCTGTGCACCTGGTACCTGTGGAGGCCAGAAAAGGGTGTTTGTTGGATCCCATGGAACTGGAGTTAGATGGTTGTGAGCTGCCACGTTGGTACTGGGAAATCATGTGGTCCTGTGGAAGAGCAGTATTTTTATGATTTATGGAGTTATTTTTTATTACGGTATATAAAACAGTTGGTTTCTTTTCTTTTTTTCCCTCTTTTGCCTCTCTTCCCCCTCTCTCCCTTCCTTCCTCCCTCCTGGAGTTTTTTGAGACAGGATCTTGTTGTGTAGCCCAGCCTGGCCTCCAACTTACAGTCTTCTACGTCTAACCTCCCAAGTGCTGAAAGAGCAGGCATGTTCAAACATGCTGGAATGAAACATTCAGTTTTCTGGATAAGCATTTCTAAAGGAATTGATTGTCAATTTAGAAGAAAATCTTTGCATTCATCTGGAGTACCGTTTTGTCTAGTCAAAAAAGACTTAAAATTATGCTAGCCACTTTGACCTTTTATTGATCTGATACAGGTGTTAGATGCCTCTTAGCTCCTCAAAGAGGAATCAATGGTTACATTGTTAAATGTTTCATTTTTCTCAAGATCATAGATTGGACTGGACTGTTGTGAAAGATGAGTTTAGTCCTATGAATAAATAGTGTAGGAAACAGTCCACAGTTAGGTTTCTGCAGCCAGGAGGCTTCAATTTTATCAGACTAGTTTGAGACATGTTTATAGTTGCTTATAAGTCATAACTAGTGGACTTTCTCCCTCCTAAGCTTTAAGTTAGTCTCAAGGGCCTGGAGAGAGAGCTCAGTGATTAAGAGCACTTCCTGTTCTTGGAGGGCACCAGTTCTGTTCCCAGCACTAGTAACAGGCCATTCAGGCAACTCCAAGCTGCATGTAATTCAGTTCCAGGGGATCCACCCTCTTCTGGCCTCTATAGGCACACACCCCAAACTCCCCCGCCTCACACACACAAACACATAAATAAAAATATTTTTTTTTAGTTAGGGTTTAGTTTTTTTAGTCAGTAAATCTCCAGTCCAATATCTAAAACATATTACTAGATTTTTTTTTTTTTTTTTTTTTTAATTTTCTCTCCTCCTTTTCCCTTAAGTCAGAACTCTGGAGTTTGCCCTCTACCTCACCCCTGAGTGCTGGGGATTGGACCTAGGCTAGCTGGAGTTTTAACTTCCTTCTTGCAATTTCATCTCTAAAGTGTCTTCATCTCCTCTCTTTGGTTCTGTCTGACAGGTGGGCTTTTTAACTGTGAGGTTAGCTTGTTCCATGTTTCTTGAGTCTTTTCCTTCTGATTCATCTTCACCATTATTGTTTCTACATATTAGCTGCTCCCTAGACTGGCATGCCTTCCCCTCTGGATGGAATCGGATCGTTACTGGGAAGTGAACATGGCAGGCAGCTCTTGAGTCCTGTCAGTTAGACCTTTGTACTGGAGAGTTCGTCCTTCAGAGCATAGGCTTCAAGTCAGGAAGCCCACATGAAAGTCCTTCCCGCTGTTAGAGACAGAGTTTTAATCTTCCTAAAACTGCGTTTGCTTCCCTGGATGGGAGTATATTAATGATACTGTGTTGATATAACATTATTAACGATAAAAGACTTAATGAGGATTCGATGAATATTATAAGTAGTATTGATGTTGGTTTGTTAGTGGAAATATAATATGGTGCAGTCACTTGGAAAAGCTGGGCCGTTTTTTAAAATATTAGACAGCAAATGACCCAGGAATTCTTCTGTGTATATATTTTGAAGAGAAAAAACATGTCTGCAGAAAAGCACATACATGTTCTTAGTCATTTGGTATTCTTAATATTCAAAAAATTAGAAACCAAATAGACAAAATATGTTTGTAAAGTAGAATATTACTCAATAAAATTAGATACTCTATGGCATGAATGAAGCATAGACATTGGAATGGATGAAATAAGTCAATTACAAGAGACTGTATCATGTTCAGTTGCATTTATGTGAAATATCCAGAATATACAAATCAATAAAAACAAAGTAGTGGTTTCTGGGAACTTCGGGAGAGAAATCATTACTAATAGATACAGAATTTCTTTGGGGGATTGATAAAAACATTACAAAATTAGATAATTTTATAACCTTCCACAATTTTATAACATCTCACAGGTGTTTTACAAGTCTGTGAATATACTTAAACTGTTGAACTATATACCCTAAGAGGATTTATTTTGTGCTGTTATGTGTCAGTGAAGTTATTCAAATCTTTAAAATAAAAAGAGGTAACTTTTGGTGTGCACATCTACTTTCAGTTCCTTTCAAGTTTCCTAATGGCAAGTCCTGTGACAGTTTCATGTTTCTATCTAGTATATAATATCCTGTGTATAGTAGGTGTAGCATGAATCTTAAAAGTTCATTTTTAATCTTAAAAATTAGTACGTGTGGCAAATCTCTATGAAGCAAACTGCCTGAGCTTCATTAAGCTGGATTGGCACAGAAACTTCACAGAATAAATGAGACCATCAATGTACATCTTTTTACTTAAGTTCTTGTGCTAGAAAACGGTAGCTTTTAGGAATGGAAGTTAACCAACTTGTCTGTTTTGTCTTTTAGGATACACACCTGCTCAAGCTGCTTAAAACCTTAGAAGGACACGCGTATGGTGTTTCTTACATTGCATGGAGTCCAGATGACAACTATCTTGTTGCTTGTGGCCCAGATGACTGCTCTGAGCTTTGGCTTTGGAATGTACAAGTGAGCGAGTTCTGTCCTGGTTTAAGTCCAGCATAATCTTAACACACATACTTGTTAAAACTTTATTCTTGGGCAGTCGGTGGTGGCACACGCCATTAATCTCAGCACTTGGGAGGCAGAGGCAGGTGGATCTCTGAGATCGAGGCCAGACTGGTCTACAGAGCAAATTCCAGATCAGCCAGGGCTACACAGAGAGACTCTTATCTCAGAAAGGGGAAAAAAAAAAGAGAGAGAACAATGTTATTTTTAGTTTATACAACAGAACCATTTAACCTAAGTGAGTGCTTGCTTCAAATGTTTAGAACCCAGATGTTAAAATTTATAAATTTAATTTATTCTGGATAGTAAAGTTTATTAAAAAGATGGTCAGTATGTTTTGCCTTGTTCAATGAAATTTATACTGTTTAGCCTGAAAAAATTTTCAGTTGTGTTTTTATCATTGTGCGTGAAGCTTAACCTTTCAAGTGCTAAAATATCAGTGTTAAATAAAATTTCACATCATGATGGCAAATATACTATTTCTTAACCTGCATTTAGTAGTCTGAGCTAGGTTAGTGCAATTAAAGAGTGCTCTCAGAACATACTTTTATTTATATTACTGTTTCTAACTGAAAACTTAAACTTTATGATCCTCTCTTAGACAAACTTGGTATTAGGTTCACTCCATTTTACAGGTTTTTGAATCCCCATATTTAAAATTTAGACTCTCAGTAAAGGAATGATAATCTATGGTTTGAGTATAAAAGTAAAACATCATAGGATGGGACTTTGAATCCAGTAACTGTTAATAGAAGAGTAAAAAGAATATTGCACCAGGTGGCGGTGGCACACGCCTTTAATCCCAGCACTCGGGAGGCAGAGCCAGGCGGATCTCTGTGAGTTCGAGGCCAGCCTGGTCTACAGAGTGAAATCCAGGACAGGCACCAAAACAACACAGAGAAGCCTTGTCTCGAAAAAACAGAAAAACAAAACAAAACAAAACAAAACAAAAAAAAATACTGTGAGCAGGGTGTAATGGCTCACACCTTTGATTCCAGCACTTGGAAGGATCTCTGAGTTCAAGGCCACCCTGGTCTCATAGCAAGCTCCAGGATAGCTGGCAGTACATTTAAATAATAATAATAATA